ATAGATATAGATAGAGAGAGAGATAGAGAGATATAGAGATATAGATAGATAGATAGATAGATAGAGAGAGAGATAGAGATAGAGATATAGATAGAGAGAGAGAGAGATATAGATAGAGATATAGATATAGATAGAGATAGAGAGATATAGAGATATAGATAGATAGATAGATAGATATAGAGATATAGAGATATAGATAGATATAGAGATATAGATAGATATAGAGATATAGATACATGATATTAGGTTAAACAAGTTTAAACAAGGAGAAAAATTTCCCTCAAAAATGGGCATTTACTACATTAACCCAGCCATTCATTTCCAGTTTCTCAGAGTTCCAACTCCCCGATCAAAACAACACACAGTGAAAGTGACTGCGCGCGGCAAGACTCGGTCTGAAACGTAAACCTTCACAGCGGAGTCTGTTTGGCCCGTGTCTCTTCTCTCAATGCCTTTGGCTGACACAGAGCAAACAGCAGGTCTTCAGTCTCTCACACCAGATTGCCTGTGTGATTCTGGCCACGCCATGTTTTACGTTTCCCCCTGCTTCTGTTGTGGCTCCGCCAGACTGAGCTGAAGCATGATTATGCTCTTGTTGCCCAACACATTTCATTAATTGAGATGAAAGAAGAATGACCAGCCGCAGAGAGGGGAGGCGGACACACCGCTTTAGATAACCGGATGAAGCCTGCCTGCTGCACTCCTGAAGCACTGGTTTCAGCCAAATATAGTATCTGTTGAAAACACTCCTTTTACATCACAGCCCTGACTGTTTGAACACCTTTCTTACAGCGCGAGGATCGAATAGAGGGGCTCACCGAAGTCACATAACTTGAGGACGTCATCGGAGCTGATGAGAAGGTTTTCTGGCTTTATGTCTGAGGAGGAAGAACACAGATGGAGAGTAAGCTGGAGAGGGGCATCATTATCATCATCGCTATTACATCACTTCCATCAGTTTCTGCCACCACACATTCATCTGCTTCATTGAGAGAGCGATTTGAATGATTACCCTTCAGAGAAATGGAATTTCATCAGCAAAAATGCACAGATTGGGGGGAAAAAAACTATAACCCATACACTGAATTCCTCGATAACATTGTCATATGGGTGCCTGGATATACTACAGGCCATTTGGATGCCTGCTCTGTTGCTCTCAGTGTGCCAAAAGCTCACATGGGCCATCTGGTTTCCTGCTCTGCTGCCACTGATTCACCAAAAGCTCTTCTAGTGAACAATACATCGCTTAGTTATAATGGTGATAGATATAATGCTGAAGATGCAATGATATCATGGGGATTGACCAGGATTGACAGGTATGAAATGAGTATATTAGAGGCACAGCTCAGGCTGAGCGGGTTTGAGACAAAGTTATAGTTTGAGATGTTTGAACATGTGCAGAGGAGGGACAGAGGATGCAATGGGCAAAGGATGTTGAATATGGAGCTGCCAGACAGGAGGAAAAGAGGAAACTCAGAGGAAGTTCATGGATGAGGATATGCACAGGGTTGGTGTGACAGAGGAGGATGCTAGGGATAGGGCGAGATGGAGGTAGATGATCCACTGTGGTGACCTCTAAAGGGAGCAGCCAAAAGAAAAAGATGAAACTATGAAGCTAAACAGATAGAAAGTGAGCCTATTCTGACCAAACATCTGTCTCACATAGTGACACGAACCATGAAACTGGACCCAAAAATATTTAGACGTTACAGAGACTATGATGTATCCCATAATGTCGATGCTTAAAGTTTTAACAATTCTCAAATGTATTTTATATCAGTCTTCTGTATTTAAAAACATAGGAGGACTGAACAAATTAAAAAACACCAAATTGTGATGCAGCTTTATTCACTTGGAAAATATTCATAGTAAGAAGGTAAAATTTTAAATGATGCATCAAAGCTCCTTTTGGCGGCTCTCTTCTTAATGAGTAAGGTGACCATATCACAACAAACTGAATGTGGGACAAAGTGAGACGTATTAATAATGCTGAGAGGTAGTCAAATATATTACATTTAAATGCAACGTTTCCAACTCTCTTGCTAATAAAAGATCTTTAGCCGTCTTTGGGTTTCAGTAAACATGCATCCATACACTCATACATGTTTTTTCCACCATATCTGACAATTTTAGCCATTTTTAGCCAATTATATTGTAAGCCAGAAATATTGTATCACTTCACACCACATTTTATCCTGCATGAAACAGAAAAATCTAGCACAGAAGATAAAAACTCCCTGTACATACCACTACCTCGTTTTCTTTGTGGTAAAACTGCAAAAAAAGGCTTAACCCTCTCAGGCTCAAATTAAACGTTTTGTTGCTAATGCACAACCAAGTCCTGCAGTGGTACTTCTGAGTTAAAAAAAAACCTCATAAAATATGTATGTGGGGTAATCAGGTTGTTAGTTTTTAACTGTTGCAAATCGGCAACGGCTGCCTCGAGGGGGTTAAAAAGCCCACTTTATACGTGAAAGCTGAACTTTAGAAATGTGCATGTCCAGCAGAAACAGTCAAAATTTGGGATACTGTCTCAAGATGTGGGATAGGAGGACAAGTAATAAAAGTGCTGTGCAGTCTCACATAAAGAGCACTATCAGCATACTCTATTCATAAGGGGTTGCCACAGATTTTTTACACCAGATGCTTTTCCTGATGCAACCCCAAAGGTATTTGTGTCTTCTCATGGGCTCAAACCAGGGACCTTTTGCTTGTTAGACACGCATGTAAATCACTACACTATGGAAATCAGGTGATTCTGAAGGGCTCGTGTGGGAAATTTTCTCCAGTTTGGTGGATTTTATATGGACTGAACATGTTTTTTCTCCAGTGTAAGCAAAATAATGCTGCATTTGTCTTCCTGCTCTGGGGGCCTCTCCTCTATCGCACTAACACTCTGTACGCTATGTTCAGGTTAAGAAAAACGCCTTACCTCGGTGAACAATGTCATGCTTATGGCACCAGTGAATTGCTTTGATTAGCTGGAAGATGTAGCTGCGTGCTTTTTCACTCGGCACACCGTTTGGTAACTCCTCGAGCAGTTCGAGCATATTCTAAAAGAGAGAGGGAAAAAAGACACAGTTGAAGAAATCAAAGCTGAGCTCTTTATTATCATGAGGGATTTGGGGGTTTAGCGAAGGAATTCTAGGTTTAACCCTGAGTTTTCAGCGTCGGGTGGACCCGTCCAGACCTGACCACCTCTGGAGCAGGTTGTACTTGAGGTAAGAGATCGACATGCTTTTTAAAGTGTGACAAAAGTCAGAAAAATGGTTCATATTTGAGAAACAATACCTATTTTTTAATTATCTATTTTGTGAATAGAAGGTTCATTAAATGAGAACAAAGCGTTGACTGCTTCGGGCTGCCATATCTGAAGCTATAATGCGTTTAATAGCTCTGGTCTAAAGTCTTTTATTTTGAAGACGAGGTCCTGTTTTCTGCTTTTTACCTGATTTTGTGAGCAATTTTAAACAATTATAATGTTGAATAGAACTTAATTTAGTGATAAGTTAAGCCTCATATTTGCTGGCCAACTTGAAATTTGGATTTTGAGCAACTTACAGGTTTGAATGATGTTTCTTCTGGTTGTTCTTTACTTGTATCTTCACTAGTCCTACACAATCAGACCGGGTGTTTTAATACCACAGTGCTCTACAGCCTTTGCCTATCACACAAACTCGCCCGCTGCTGCTTTGGCTGCTGCAGCTCTGTTGCTTTCATCCTCTATTATGTGTTTAACCTCTTTGTATTTTTTCAAATATTATAGTTTGCTGTTATTTTGGAAAATATCCTGCTCTGTTGCCAGTATACCTCCCTGTGTTTGTCATTGGTCATATGCTGCCATTGTTATCTCTTTCACAGCGAGGTTGAGAAAACCCTGGATTGAATTATTGAGCTAATAACCACCTTCATTCATCGTTCTGTTGATGTTACGGTAAGTGAAGCCAGAAGAAGAGAAGAGTGTGCTGAACTTGTTCTGCTACAGGCGACGGGTGAGAATAACACCAGAGTCAGCGCAGGTATCGGCCTGTGGAGGACACCTACCTTCTCCACATATTCGAAAACAAGGTACAGCTTCCCTCTTCGGCGGAAGGCTTCTTTCAGCTCAACAATATTCTCCTGCTTGAGGGTGCGGAGCATTTTGAGCTCCCGCAGGGTCGTTTCTTTGACCTCTTCATTTTCTGCGTGGAGGTGAGACAGACAGGAAATGAGGATCACACTGAGCTGCCATGTTGTGATAGATATGGGATGCAGCAGGCCAGTAGAAATAAAGGACGGGGACAGCCTGCATTACAATAGAAATCATAAGTGCTCTCTGATGAGGCCTGCCCATCGGGAGAGAAGAGCCCTCTTACCTTCGCTGTCCTTGAATTTCTTAATGGCCACAATTTCATTGGTGTCCTGCAGCAAAAACACAGAAATCAATCCTGTCATTACATCACGACAGTGGAAAAACACAACAGTGAGGCTGACTGAAATCATGAATATTAGTGTTACTGCTGCTGCCTTTACTACTGCGTTCAGTAGTGAGAATAACACATTTTTGCATTCAGCTGTGGGGACTGTGGCTGAAAGTATATAAATTATTTAATCAGCAACACAAACAGATGTTCAAGTCCAAATCTACAAAAAGCATGCCTAATTAAATATCAGTGGCATTCACGTTAGCATGCAGGATGGGGATATTGCTTTGAACCTGAAACTGTGTGTTTCAAGCAGCAACTTTGAAGCTGGAAAAAAGTGAGAACGGACATCTGAACGTTTGCGAGGAAAGCCGCAAAATCAACATGACTTTTTACACATCCAAGGATGGAGCAGTCAAGACCAGCTTTGTTATTTCCCACAAAAATTATAAACCAAAGTAAGTGAGCCAATCTCTGCTGGGGAGTTTATTAGAGTGTTTGGTCAACTTTCCTGAGCTGATATGCCCTGAGAAAAAAAGAAGTGTTTGACAATGAGCCGATGGCTACTTGGCTCTGGATGAGAGTTGTGATATCTGCCCAGTTACTCATCTTTGTAAGTGGGATCAGTGTTGGGGAGTAACGGAATACATGTACCGCCGTTACGTATTTAAAATACAAAA